GTGAGTCTATCCCCCTTAGAAATTAGTATCCCCCGTCTACTCAGTGATCGCTACCGCCTTGATGCCGATGAAGGGCTCTTGATCAAAGGATTGGGAGCCACCTTCCCCTTTCTTTGATCGAACCTTGGTACTTCCCATTTCCCGTATGCTGTATAATCCTTAGGTTCCTCACCTTCCTTTCCCACTTGCATATTGTATACCGTGTATTTCTCCCCTCTAAGTGTACACACTGAGAGCAGGAGGGTATATACACTGAGGGGTGTATGTATGTATATATACACACTGAATGTTTATTGTAATTCCTTTGTGACAGATTTAAATTATACTTGACTGGTGGTGTACAGGTGAAACACAGCCTTAATGATTCTTAGTGTAGGCGATGCCTACACAAAGAGAAAAAACAATAAGTGTACGGGGCCCAAGACTGTTCAACAGCCTCCCACAGGGGATAAGGGGAATTACCAGTATACCTATGGCTGTCTTCACGACAGAGCTGGACAGATACCTAAAGTCAGTACCCGGTCAGCCAGGCTGTAGTTCGTACATTGGATTACATGCGGCCAGCAGTAACAGCCTGTAGTCCGAGTTATTTACCTGGTGGGTAAATAACCTGAACTACCTTACTGAAATTTTTGACTACCACATTTCGCCACAAAACTCATTTTACGACGGTAAGAAAAAGGCAGGTTACCGAACGAGCTTTCATTGAGACGTTTTGCGCTGCGTAGAGCTTAACCAGGTGTTTATAAAAGGTCCCATTCCTTGACGGTGTCCTATTTAGAATTCATAGCAAACTATGGTTAGAGGGGCAGTCATGGTATACCCATGTATGGGGAGGGGTATCCAAGACATACCCGTGTATTTGAAGGGAATGTATCCAGCGTGTTTTCAAGTAATTACTGGAGGCTATTGAAACATTGGAGCAGAATGGCGAGTCAGTACCAAGAGAAACCAAAGCGGCACCAGTGGGAATTTTACCAGGTAGAGAGAGCGTTAACTTGGATTGATTCCTAGTTTGCCAAGGAAATAGACTAGGTTACCATAATTATAGATAAAATTTACTAGGGATAAGAGTCGTAGCTCACTTGAAATAATGTCCTAGTTTACCAGGAATAAAGTGCTAGTTTACCAGGAATAAAGTGCTAGTTTACCAGGAATAAAGTGCTAGTTTACCAGGAATAAAGTGCTAGTTTACAAGGAATAAAGTGCTAGTTTACTGTAAGACTTTTTACCATCTGAGGTTAGACCTGGATACTCATTCCATCAAGCATTCATCAAAGCAGATTCTCCACAATCATCAGTCAAAGCCGCGGAGGCTTCTTAGGCTCAATGTGCCGATGAGGGTGCTAGGTCTTCCTTCAGGATGTCAGAACCCTCTTGAGAACCCTGCCACCTGCCTCCAGTAGGGGCCCCACCGGTAGGGGCCATCTAGTGGGGGCTCCTCGATCATTGCTCCTCCAGCCCGCCGACACTCTTCCACAAGACATAAAGACACACGAAGGCAATAAAGTGGATAAAAAGAGTTTGAAAAATGGGCGAGGCCAATGATAAGCTACGAAGTACTCCAGAGGGCGGAAACAAGTCTTGGTATTGTGTGAGCTCTTGTTACTTAAGCAAGTGGCGAAGGTTGTTCATCAAGCCACAGGGGCAGCGTACCCTGGATTTTCTTTTAAACTCACAGAACCCTTTTCGTCATAGGTAAGACGAGTGTGTGTTAAGACGTGTCTGGGAAGAGCTGATATAGGTCTTTCTTAAATATATAATGAAATCTAGGGATTGTTTTGTGCCTTGCTGACACAAAGGCCCCAAAAATTGATAAGAATACTCAAGAAACAGCGTCAATTTCGATGGTTTTATTTATTCTTTATAGTGAAAATTAATTCGGAATGTATGATCATATCCAGGAAATTTAGACTTCCTTTGTCTGGCGATTTCCCCCTTCGTAGTATTTGTGAAGGTGAGGTTGTAGGGTAAGGTTGTGAAGTTAGTAATCAGAGGTATCAGTTGTGTTGCAGGAGCTGTAGGGATAGTCCTGCCCATAGCCAGGTTTGGTGATAGTTATCGTACACTGCCCTTGCGACTGTTGAAAGCCTCGGTGATCCGCCGCCAGATAGAGCGTATGGTTCTCACTTAATGTCATTCACTCGCTCACATTTCGTCTGATTTATTTCGCCTTAAAGTTAAGGCCCGCCTTCGATTGGCACTTGTCGGAGGATTCTCTCAGAGATTTTGGGTTGCGGTTTTTTTCCTAACAATAATGAACAGGGTTAAGGATCTGTTATTTCACGGCAGAATAAACCACCAAATCCTCAGAGAGAATATTTTTAAGTCCGGACATACACAGATACCCACTGAATATTGCTTTTAACATACCTCAGAGAACACCCGAGTCTGAACACCAGCTAGAGCACCAAGTAAACATTGTGTTTTTTTTTTTTTATCTCCAGATGGATTCTTCGAGCAACCAAAAGAGGGACGCCGTAAAGTGCCATTTATGTGGTAATGTTGGCAGTAAATCAAGCGAAGATAAAGTGAAACACAGACATTCAGATATTAAGTCTTCCTTGATGAACTGCTATCCAGAAATCAACACAGAATTATTGCCTTTTTTTGTTCTCTGCATCTCGCTGTAATGATGTATAAAACTGGGGATTAAAGCGTTATCTTAAATTTTAATTGAAGAACCAAAAGCGACTGAATGGTCACTGGCAAATAAATGGGCCAGTGAAATGTTGATTCCTCGTAACTATGGGCTTTTAGTGGTCGGTATACACCCTTATGATCTCCAGCATGTCTATGAGCTCTGTGATTGGCTGTTGCTGTGAGCTCTGTGATAGGCTGTTGCTGTGAGCTCTGTGATAGGCTGTTGCTGTGAGCTCTGTGATAAGTTGTTGCTGTGAGCTCTGTGATAGGCTGTTGCTGTGAGCTCTGTTATAGGCTGTTGCTGTGAGCTCTGTGATAGGCTGTTGCTGTGAGCTCTGTGATAGGCTGTTGTTGTGAGCTCTGTGATAGGCTGTTGCTGTGAGCTCTGTGGTAGGCTGTTGCTGTGAGCTCTGTGATAGGCTGTTGCTGTGAGCTCTGCAATAGCCTGTTGCTGTGAACTCTGCGATAGGCTACTGCTGTGATAGGCTGTTGCTGTGATGGACTACTAAAGTACCCAGTAGCTACGTCTGCCACTGGGTACATGCAAATTTTAGTTCATTATAAAAACAATCTTGTAGGAGTTTTGAGAATTCGAAACAGAATATAACAAAAGAAAACTGAGAGTTGAAAACTCGTGTTTTGGTGGCGTTGTTGACTTGCACGAGCCGAGCGAGCCCTTAAATATCATTATTTTCATTTACCTTTATTCCAGAACCGGTCACATACCAAGCTCCGGTGTACTTGTTCTTCCTGCACAGCTTTCCTTTTTTATCTTTAAAATGCCTCAGCCAATCGGCGTCAAATTCTGGATGCTAATGAGGTGTAACTAGGGTAAGGGTGGTGCAACTACTAGCATGAGGAGTCTCCTGGTTGACTTCACAAAGACCATTCCCCATTATTGTTTCTTCCCTGCGATAACTTCACAAAACTTCGTGTGATACAGTGTTATTCTGTGAAATAACTTCAGTATGCCTCTTCCGAACGCCTTCAACATTAACACCTGACACATCCTGCAAAAAAAAAAAATGCACTTTTTGGGTTGAGGCTGTGAAGGTTTACAGTTCCCAATTTACAGCAGTTAACGCGTCGGTCTGGAGTTTTACTACTCACTCACCGCGAGTTCAATCCCCACCAGTCTAGTGGTTTGTTTACTAACACTTAACATGGTTGTTGGTCTTCCATTTTTCGGCACTTATGTTTTTTCCTTAGATGATACTTCGTAAGTTTTAATTTCCCAATATTATTAAATATATTCCCCTGCATAAACTGGAGAACGCATTTTCTGATTAGCTTCAAACCTCAAACATAGTGCATCTTGCTAAAAGATTGATTTTGAGCTCCGTAAGGGCCCAATTTGCTAATTTCATTGAAGAAAGTGGGATACTAGGTTCCATGTGATAACTAGTGGCTGCCTCTTCTTACTTGCTTCAGGTCTTCACTGAAGTTATTAAACTGCAGTAGAAACTTATGCCGCACTCTGTACCATTCCTTTTGCACTGAGGTAGAGGTGACTCTGCTTATAGAACACGGGGATACCTTACTCGGAAACGTATCTTGTCTGGAAAACCGTTCTTGGGGGAAGCGCTAAACCCCTAAGGAAGGTCACGCACAGGCTAGGGAATGAGGTAAACATGTTTTATTCATGGCCAGGGAAAAGGTAGCTCAAATTCCACAGATCAAGAGCCCTTCGCAGGCATCAAAACACCCGAGCAGCGGTAATTAGGAACCAAACGAGGTGACAATTTTATAGATAGCGCGTTAAGTATCAGAGGGAAGAGTGCCGCGCAATAATCGCCCTTATGATGCTTGTAACTACGGCTCCTTTTGATCTCGCCTCATTACATCCCGCGTTAACTTTATTTGTGAGGTGTTAATGGTACAGTGAACCCTGTTAGCTGCAGGTACAGTGAACCCTGTTAGCTGCAGGTACAGTGAACCCTGTTAGCTGAAGGTACAGTGAATCCCGTTAGCTGCAGGTACAGTGAACCCTGTTAGCTGCCGGTACAGTGAACCCTGTTAGCTGCAGGTACAGTGAACCCTGTTAGCTGCCGGTACAGTGAACCCTGTTAGCTGCAGGTACAGTGAACCCTGTTAGCTGCAGGTACAGTGAACCCTGTTAGCTGCCGGTACAGTGAACCCTGTTAGCTGCAGGTACAGTGAACCCTGTTGGCTGACGGTACAGTGAACCCTGTTAGCTGCAGGTACAGTGGACCCTGTTAGCTGCAGGTACAGTGAACCCTGTTAGCTGCCGGTACAGTGAACCCTGTGAGCTGCAGGTACAGTGAACCCTATTAGCTGCCGGTACAGTGAACCCTGTTAGCTGCCGGTACAGTGAACCCTTTTAGCTGCAGGTACAG